TATATATATTTATATATATATATTATATATATTATATAATGAAAACGAGAGGAGTGGATATTATGTATAAATTCTATATATATATATATATTATATATATATATATATATATATATATATTATTATTTATATATGAAAAGAGAGAGAGATGGATATATATATTATATATATATATATATCTTATATATGATATAAAGAGAATGATATTATATATATATATATATTTTTGCGTTGTGTATGTTTATGTATGCATATATGTATGTGTGTGTGCATACATATAAATGAATATGTATATGTACACACACACACACACACACACACGTGTGCATATATATATATATGTATATATAGATATACATATAGATATACATATATATATATACATACATATATATATATATATATATATATATATATATATATATATGTGTGTGTGTGTGTGTGTGTGTGTGTGTGTGTGTGTGTGTGTGCACTCGCACGAGTGTGTATGTGTGTCTGTATTTACATATATATGTTAATATATATATAAACACACATTCAAACATACATACATGCATATATATATATATATATATATATATATATATATATATATATATACATACATACACACGCACACACACACACACACACACACATATATATATATATATATATATATATATATATAAACTCGTTTATAATTTACATAAGTAGTTTACAAAGAATGTTTTTGTAAGTTATAAGGTTATAAAAGTCAGTTTTATAAACATTCATTTATTATTTTCATTGCTCGTATAAAATAATTATTCTTACAAGTACAAAAAGCACCACCACTCCATTTAAATATTAAATGTATTCAAAGAAAAAAAAAACAGATACAATATTTTGGAAGTCATGATACAGTTTTAGTTCATCGTTTTTATGATATTCAATTGAAAGTTGAAAGCAAAAATTGAGCTTAAGATACCGCCTTTCGAAAACCTCTTTTCGAGATTCGGCCTAGCCAGCAGTGGAGTGGGGGGGGGGGGTTGAAGAGGAGGAGGATGAAGACGAAGAAGAAGACGAAGGGGGAGGAGGGGGGCACGAAGGAGGAGGAGGAAACGAAGAAGTAGGAGGAGGAGACGAAGAGGAAGAAAAATGAGACGAAGAATAAGATGATGAAGGGGGAGAAGAAGACGAAGATGATGATCGAGAGAAGGACGACAACGAAGACGTAGGAGAATATGGAGGAGGAAGAGACGAAAAAGAGAAAGAAGGAAAAGACGACGAAGAACATGAATGAAGAGGAGGAAGAGACGAAGAATTAAGAAAATGAAGGAGTACAAGAATAATAAAAAGAAGAGGGAAGGAGAACGGATCAGAAGACGGAAGGTGTAGATGACAGAAGAACGAAGCGGAAATAGAATAAAAAAGACAGGTAGACACGCAGGCAGATAGATCGATAGATAGATAGAAAACGAGTGAGACAGGGAGAGGTACCGGTTACAAATAGCACATTATGAATATTTATTCATCTACATTTCTTTAGTAACAGAATCAAACACTGAATTTCCGATAACTTGATTACACATGCTTATACACTTTGAAGGGCTTTCAGAGACAGAACAAGATCAAAGGGGAAATAGAGGAAGACTGGGGGAGGGGGGGGAGGAGACTCGGGAGAAACAAGCACTGTACAGGCAGATGCAGTCTTAAAAAGTGGAGAGTTTTAAACAAAGCATTGTACAAGCAGTGGTGACTGAGGGGGTGTGGGGTGTGGGCGGGGGTGGGGGTTAGAAGAGGGAGGGTTGAATGGTGTATATTTATATATATCTATAATTTGATAATAATAATTTCAAACACTTAAAAGAACAGTCTCAGTCTTCAGTTACTTTTTCGATATCAATGTCATGTTTCTTGAGCACGGGGAATACATATCTTATATTTTAAACAATAAGCATCGCTTTTTTAAATCTTGATTATGATTGAGTCTGAATTTACTCGGGTATTTTGGGGATACCAAACACAGGAGAGCGTCTATGATGATTGAAAAATAATATTGATAACATTTTGTCACTTATATATGAAACGTATCTATCATTGTGAGACACCAATATATTTTTACATATATATATATAATCTACTGACAGCCATGGGACCCACAACAAATTATACTTTGTTATATCTAAGGTTCTGAGGGAGGGGAAGGGGTGTGGTATATGCTATACATAATATACACTTTCTCCTTCAAATATAAGTATACAGATATTTTTTAACGTGAGGTGAAGAGGCGCGTCCCCATTGGCTCACGCCTCCCAAACCCTGACCAATGGCGGCACCGTTTTTGTCCAAGTCTTCTTTCCTATTGGTGGGAAATAAATCCAAACAATTGAAATGCTGCAAGCGCACGAGTTAACCTCTTCCTGACCTCATTAGTATGAATAATGAGGCGCGGGGCGAAATGAGAGAGAGTGAAAGGTTCGAAAATATTCACGAAGCTTTGCTGTGAGTTTTTTTCTTTACCTTCTCACCGTATTTCACAAATTGATTTGGAGGTCTGTGGCCACGCGAACTGGCTGGAGAGTCCTCGGGCAATTCCCCAAAACTAGCGGTTATCGGCGTAGGTAGCGAAATATCCTTTTTATTCACACTAAACGTTACTGTAGTCGATATTCCTGTTGTCCTTTTCATATGCTTGAGCTTCCAAGTCACACTGTTTATCTCGAGTTCGGAAAGCTTTAACCAAGAGTTCATTGAGAATCTTTCCTTTCGTCGGGAACGCCAAGTGAACAATGATCAGGTGGTGGCAAAGGAGCCGTTGAGACGTGGTTATTCATTATTTCACGTTAGTGTTTCTTCTTCTGCCTATGTACAGTACATTCATTTGGAAAACTCTTAGATAGCAGCTAAGCAAGCAGTAGTCATCAGTACGTAATAATACATAGCACAATGTTAATTCCAGCAGTTACTAAACTCAAAATTAATATTTAAAAAGTCAACTCTCTTTTAATGAATAAACAAAAAAATATATATGAAAGATGAGATTACATACCATGCGTAAACAAACATCTCTTGGGTGAATGGTCAAAATCCCCTTCTAAATGCAGATTTAGATTATCACTGGAAGTTCCTCCTGATTATTCTCAAAACCAAATGAAATGACACTTAGATTCAGAGCGAAGAGAAGCGTCCAGTCCCAGGAGTGTAAATGCCGTACACTAGAAACGCTTCTGGTAAACGTCTATCTATCTAACGTCTATTATTGTCCACGAGACAAATGATACATGAATACCTAATACTGACGTCACTCACGACGCATGGCGCGAGAGTAGTTACCGAATAAAAATAAAACATTGGGCTTCAGTAAACGATTGCTTCTCTCGCTTTGACTCGCCCAATTCTCGACTACACAAAGCGCAGCTGCGTCCAACGATCTGATCGTTTCTCAGCGCAATCATCCTTCTCTCGCATTCTGATATAAACCCTAAAGTTTGAATCCCACCTACGTCACTGTTATTGCAAAAACGATAATGTATTCCACTGTATTCTCAGAGAGGATCAGAGGGTCGCGGGATACGTGCAATACACCTAAGGGGATACGAACATATCTCTTATAATCGTATATTATCTTTTTAACTGAACAAATAACATGTATGTTCTATTGATTTTATATATAATTGAGCTATTATTTTTTATATAATTGATCATGATAAGAATTTTGTTAATAGGTCCACGATCATTCCGAATTATTATTAACAATGTCGTCTGTGGCGGGAAAATATATGCCCAGCTACTCATCGAAAAAACATCAACTGAATTATATACAGATCACGTGATATTGAGATTTCGTATCGTCCAGATTTAGTGATTATATACTTAGCATCTCATCTGTCACACAGAATAAACATGGGTCAATGAGATTCTATCGATTCGAAAAGTAAAATGGGTGAAGCTGGCATCGTAAAGAAGGATGGCCAAGTATCCAAACTGAATCTCTAGATCAGTGGCTCTCAGCTGGCAGTTCACGAAATCCATCATAGTTATTGTGGCGGTCCGCACGTTGTAATGATTTGGGAGTCGGTGCGGTTGACCCTGTTGCAAGAAATGCATTCATCAAATTTCAGAGAGAAGTATTTGTTGTGTAATTTATATGTTCGTTTGGGATGCATTTCACAGCCAAATGTTTGATGTTTATACATTTCTTCAAAATTATTCTTGTGATAACTATATTTCAAATATTATCTTTCTACTATTTCATACATTTTCTCAAACTTCTTTTTGTTAGGACTATATGTTAAAGCGAAATGTTATCCATTTTTTAACATAGCTCAAAAGAAGATAGTCCACGATTGGTTTTGCTTAGGCTGCGGGTCTGTGGCCCGGGCCGAGCTGAGAGCCACTCCTCTAGCCTGTGCCAGAACGCGCCTCGGTGCCTCGGCTCTCGACTCTGATCCTCTTCATGAATGGCGGTTCGGGGAGCCTCGCAAGGAAGAGTATCTGGACGCCATCTAGACCTCTAGCTACGCTGCTGTCTGCGCTTCCTTGGGACTTGTTCTCCGAGCTGCTCGGCAGCGGCGGCCGCGCCTCTCCGGAGACCCTCAAAACCTGTTCCGGTCGGCGTTGAGTAAGCAATGCTCGGTTAATGATCAGCTTCGACAGGCATTCTACAAAATATGTATAAACAATGTACATGTCGCAGAAAGGAAAGGTTTTGACGCGACGCGGGCGCTGCGTCTGCGCGCTCGCCGGGCGTCTGACTCCGGCGACGGCCTCACACGTGCATGTCGGGGGTGTCGTCGTACACGGCAGGCGACAGTTGCGTGTCCACGTGCGGGTTGTACGACATGGACTGTCTGTGCACACCGCGCCGCGACGCCGTGCCGTTGTGCGGGTGGCCGGCCAGGCACCGCTCGCCGGGGCCGCACAGCGGGCCGTCCTCGCCGCTCTGGCAGCTGCTGGTGTAGTCGGGCGGCCACTCGTGCTGCTGCTCGCCCTCGAACGACGTGGCCAGCGACGAGCGCAGCGTGGCGGACGAGCGC